GAGTAGTATTGGAAGATGTTGAATAATGTATCACCAGTGTTTAGAGGAGTGCCAATTCTTGGGTGAACCAAGATAGGCTTCATCTGATCCAAGAGTGGGTTGCACTCTGTCTTAACCTTGTTTATACGTGTGCATCCATTGAAGTACAATAATATGTGCCCCTTAATTTGCAACTCACTTTCATGTTTTACATGGTCAGCAGTCCAAATGTAGATAAGAAGGAACTGTTACTTATTGTCACTGCCTCTTGGCTACCAGGTGAGCTGAATATTAAGTGCTTTCTCTGTAAAGGCTGCTTGCTGTGCAGGCTTGGCCTTAGATTTTTTTTTTAAGAGGTTTTATTGTTTTCTAAATACTCATAATATTTATAGGACTTGCAGTTTTGGATTCCTTCTCCTCTAGACCTTCCTACATTTGTAGGGAAGTGCTGTGGTTCAGCATCAGTAACATGATCTGAAGAAACTGAATTAATGTTACATTCAAGACATCCTGCAGGGTTTAAGACTAACAGATTAAGTAGACATTATTTGTAAACTGCAGAGGGAAAAACATGGTGGATGGAGTTATTGAGATCTTCAGACGCTTGACCTAGGCTGGTAATGAAACTCACTTTGTAAGCAATCTGTAATTTTACATTTGACTGTTACTTTGGCAAACTTGTGACTAGAATTTGTTACCATATTTCATGGAATATTGGAATTGGGATTTTACTTTTTATATCGCATGTTGTAATGCATGATCTTTGAATTAACTGCCATGTGATTTCCTTTTCAGTAGTATTATGATGTTACAGTGTTAGTCAAGTGACAAACCCTTCAGGAGGAGGCTAATACAAGTAGTTAAACTGTTGTTTAAATATAACTTAAAAATCAGCTTAGTTTCTAATGGCTGGTAGTTCACCATTTGTGTTCACTAGTAGTGAATAAAAGCGGTTTCTGTTGTGTTACAAAAAGTGCTTTCCCTGATCTTCCTTAGTAGTCTTAACTCTAATGGTAAAAAGGATGTAGATTGGCCTAGGAGTGTTACATAGCAAAATTAAAACCTTATGATTCCTGTGACCTCAATTCACTGTTATTGATGTATTAGAAATGAAATTTGTGCTAGTGGTAGTTTTCCTCAAGTACTGAGTATCCATGGCTCCAGTGCTAAGAGAGGAGGCAGGTTTCTTAAAATCCTTGGTAACATCTGCTTACTGCTTACCTGAGGCCAAATTAAATACAAATTTTCATATGCTATCTGGACCCAGCCTTTTCTTTCCAGGTGGAAGTAAGCTGTTGAAGTTCTGAGTAGATCTAATCATTCTTATGGAGAATCTCCATACTGTGAGGAAGTTTCAAGACTGAAGATCAAGGATTTAAGTTCTAAATATTCCAATGAATTAATGTGAAGCACCAATGGTGGACTAGTCCAAGGCTCAATTCATTTTCAGCCAGATGAAATGCTGTTTTGTCCAACTTGCTTGAAATATTTTAGACTTTGGCAAACAAATTCAAATCTGTACTTGTGTCCAGACTGCTTGCTGTCTTAATTGTAGGCTGAATTTAGCTTATATTCAGCTAGTTAACGTAGGAATGTGTATGACCTCTAGAATTCTTATGTAAGAATAACTACAGTGGCAGTGTGCAGAGAAAATGTATTGAGACTTTTGGTAGTTTTGTATCACTCAGCACTCAAGGATGAGACAAATGGGGAGAGAAAATTAGGCAATATTCTTACGGTCATCAAGTTATAAAGGTTGCAGCATATGTTTGTCAGAAACACCACATCAAAAGGAGCCTCTTCTAAAGGAAGTGACTCTGATTTTTCTTTACCACAAACTCGGTATAGCATACTTACTATATTTGTTTTAAAAGGCAAAGAAATTCTTGGTTAGATTGACTTTTTAAAAAATTGAGTAGAAGCATGCCAGGTGAAAGAGTTGATATCAGATAAGGGTAGTGCTGAGTGATATCTCTGCTGTATAGCATCCCTGAAGAAAGGGAATCCTACCTACTAGAAGCAGCATATGTTTAGCATTAAAGCTCTATCCTTTTTGCATTGTTTTTTTTTGGGGAGGAGGGGGCAATTGCTGTTTTTTGGGGGGGGCGGGGGAGATAAAGGGTGAATATGAAGGAAATTGCCCTGAAAATACTTAGCCTTATTCATATGCCCTTTAGTTAAAAAGTCCATGAATACAGCAAAGTGCACTTTTCAGAAGTGCAATATACTGTGGCTCAGCTGTAATTTGCTAATAGCAGAAATCACTGTTTTGCCCTATTGCTGATGGAACTCGTCTAGTGCTTGGATGTGTTTCTTGATAACAATTCAGAGTTAGAAAGATGGTTGAGTGGGCTTAGGACGTGGGAAATATGTGCTTTGGGCAGACGGAGGGCGTAAAATAGTGCGTGCATCAGCAAGCCAGGGGTTGCTAAGTGCTGACGATATAGGAGGAGAAAGAAATTCAGGGTTACTTTACATTTGAGGGGAAAAAATTTTTCTTAACTAGCTGATATATCAGGGATTGCCTTAACTATATAGTTGTTTTTAGGCAAGCATTGCAGTTGTATTGCCTAGGTGCAATGAAAAAATGACAAAATGCTGACGTTTTGGGGGAGGGGGTTATTATTGCACTAATACTGGATTTACAGAGCTTTTGCTGCTTAGCAGTAGTTCATACTATGAAAAACACCGTTGTTCTTAATGCCATGATTTTACCATGATTTGTAGTATTACAAACAGATTTTGAAAGTTCATATCTGATATTTTGCTATTCAGTGATTCAAACAGTGCCACTGTATAGAAAGAGGTACCTTACTTTATTATTCTCAACATTCGTCACTAATGAAAATGTTATGATATTTAAACTGAAGTGCACGGATTCAGCCATTATAAACCTCTGTTTTTTCAGTACTTACATTTATAGCAGCATTGCCCTCTAGAGGGCACTTCTTCTGATCACTTCAGTAGGGTTTTTTGTATTAACTACATTTCCATTAATTTCTGTGCAGTATTCCTCCCCTGTAGTCACAAAGATGCAGCTATTGAAAGCCAGTTGTCTTTACCTGTCAGGAAGCAGGATATGGGACAAGAATAAGCAAAGTGTTTGCTTCTCCTCGCTGAGAGCCTGGAACCTGTGCTATCAGTTTTCAACTGAATTGTTTCTGAAATTGTCAAACAACAAATTAATGCCTTGCCTGTTTAGAGTGCTTGTGTCTTAAACAGCTTGCAGTGCAATATTATGGCATTTGACATGGAAAATTCAACAGAGGAGTGAAATACGAGTAACTTGCAGCTTAAGCTTATTTTAAAACAGAAAACTGAAGTCTAGATAATTACCGCATAGGTTTAGAAAGCAACCCTTTGATTTCCTGTGACTGGTAAGTAGGCATTAATGATACAAACTTAATAATATAAGAAAGCTTCTCTGTATAAAACAGACCTCTTATGAAAATTGTTATCCAACTTTTATCGTCAGTGTTGTGTACCTGTGCGTCTAATGGAGAAGCAGCAGGGAAGAGGCAGTGGGAAAATGTATTTCCTGAAGTAGTTGGTGGAAAATTGACAAATCCAACTAATACCTCCTAAAACTTGCGTGTGTTTTCATGTTTGCTTTACCTCATTGCTAAAAGCTGATTGATCAGACTTGTTTAGAGGCTTGAGCAAATGACGTGTTGTATACTTGACAGGCATCCACACATAAGAAAAGCGAGCTTTAGCATTTTGTCTTAATCATGCTGCTTACGAAAGAATACCTGCAGTGCTGCTAAAATTGTTTTGTCGATGGCTCCTTGACTAAGGTTAAAACTACCCAGTTGAAGTAGTTTGTACGCTAAGAATACTGAGGTCCATGTTACTGTATAAGAAGAGGTTAAACAGTGTACGTATGATTGTGAAAGGTAGAATTTCTAACTGACTTGGATCCTTTCTTGAATACATCAAATTTCAGAAATAATCAGAATTAGCTTGCATTGTCAGAGGTGTAGTGATAGAGTCACCATCTGAATGCAGTTGAAGTAACACGCTTCTCAGCCCTTCGCCATGAGAGTTCTGATAGGATTTTTTTTTGGTTTAAATATTTGCCAAACCCCAAATACAGGCTAGGTTTAACTACAGGTAAACCCTGGTAACACATGACTAAAAAGAGGGCAAGTATCATCTTTTAGAATGTGATTCTTTGACACTTTTCAGATAATGTTAGTAGATGGAAAAATAATTCGTCAAAAATAAATGTGTAATGATATATCTGTGAAGTTTATGTGCTGAGTTATACCTGTAGTCTTCAAAGACACCATTTGGGTAAATCCATGAGAACTACCTAATACACTGCCGCAAATAAGTTAGTGACAAATTAAGTGCATCTTTATGCCATTAGTTATGGTCTGCAGCATACCATAGCATCCTTCGTAGTCTCTTTTCAGAACAGTTGTCTTTACTTAAACTCTGCCACTAAATTTGAAAGATGCAGGAGAGCATTAGCTGATCTCTACTGTAATGTGTTGCAACTGAACTGAAATTAACCTTGTTATTTCTTATTTGGTGGGGAAATAGATCTGCAAAAGATACAAAATCTGGTGTAAGGATAGAGGATTTTAGGGAGTAGCTTTTTGACAGCAGTAGTGAGTGCAAAATGTAGACTGTTTAGACGAGGCCTATATGTGTGTGTGTGTGTTGGTGGTGATGTTTTTCATCAAAAAGAATTATGCTGTAGTGGCCTACAAAACAGGACTGAGCTGTAATTGAGGAGGTCCCCTCCAGCTCCCTGCTTCTGGAAGGAGAAATGGTAGGGGAGAGGGTAGGATTAAAAAAAACATATATAAACCTGTCTAGGCTGCTCTGTCCAGATTGGATATTGCTTTTCTGGATTATGCCCTTACAGCACAAAGAGGGAGTGTATTTACAGTTTTACTCGGCTTGCTCTGTCTAGAGTGTTTTCTGATCTGGGTTCATAAATCTTTGTCAATCCAGAGTGACTGTGAATGCTTATTTAAAGGAAATAAACAGTTTCTTTCTCTTCCTTCTAGATGGAATGAATCTTCCTTGTTGAATGCCTCCAGATTTCCTATTGGATTTCACGTCTGGAGAAACCCTTTTCCTTTAAGCCACTCTGTGGCAGACTGAATTGTGGATCCAGGACTCCTAAGACTTTGGATCTTGAGGAGGCAGCCACTGCTGAATTGCATTAACCTGACATCACAGCCACAATGGTGCTGTCACAAAGGCAACGAGATGAACTGTAAGGAATGGTTTTTGTTTGTTTGTCTCATTTTCATTAAACTTGTTCCCAAATAGATTTTATGGAGTGGCCATATTCACATCCTGCTTGAGTACTGTGTATTGTGGCTTTGATTTCTGTACTGTTATTTTTGGTATAAACTCTGGTATTTGATAACAGAATTGTGAAATGGTGGGCATAGAGGACTGCTGGAGGAGAATGAATTATCAACATACTTTGAAATTTTGTTCATTGTAACTAGCTATGTAGGCTTCATGTTAATTTACAAAACTTCTGTTTCTACATGGACTGGAAAGAGGGATTTGGATTGGTCTTATGCAGAGTGAATATCACACAGTTAGATCTTTATGCTCTCTCTTCATTGTCCCTTACTAATGAAAGCAGGCTAAAACCATTGTATAAAACAAAAGTACGGCAAAGAATCACAGAAACCGTATCGTCTTCGTTGTTTCAAATCAGGTGTTAAGGTATAAGAAAGCTGCCTTTTGAAGGTAAATGATGTCAAAGATGGATTGTCAGTTTTCATTCTGATTTATTATCCTCTATTTTGTTTCAGTTTCAGTCACCAAAAGTTACAAAAGAATTAAAATGAGCAGCAAACCCATTGCAGTATTCAGTCAAAACTGATTGGTGAATTCTCTTTTTATTTTGTGTAAATTATGACACTCTTGTTATCTTTCTCCTTAATGAAGATCAGTATCTGATCAGAATGTGCTGCACTGCAAGTTGTGTTACAGTCTTTGCATGACTCACGGTACTGTGTTTAAAATGAAGGGTATAATAAAAAGACTCGCGTTTGATATATGGAAGTCTTTCCAGATTTTAAGCTTAAGACAAGGAGTAAGCTGTCAAATTTACTTTTACATTACATTTACGTGTAGTAAATTTACACTTTACAATTCTATAATTACATGTAGTACAATTGATGTTTACATTTAGTTTTTACATGCCTTAGTTTGCTTTTTTCTGTGCTGAATTATGATAGAGCAAACGATGGGTGGCAGTCAGAATGGTCATGGCTTGCATGTTACTCCATTTCATAAATTTACCTCAAAAGAATCTTTAAGGTTGTTTTTTTTTTTTTCCCCCCCCTCTTGTGAAAGCATGGAGTAAGTGTCATTTAGCTTTGGATGTCTCTGTCCTTGGCAAGCTTGCATGTTTGTGGTTTGGTTTTGTTAATTCATACAGCTTCTTCACTTTTCTAGCAATGATTCAACCCTTTTTATGGTAAAACATAGTATTTGTTTTACTTTTTAGTTTGGTACACTTCAAGAAGTAAAAAAACCCCTACATTTAAGTGGCATGCAAGCTTTCTTCAAATTTCACTTTTTACAACTACTTATTCATTAGATTTGGTGAAGATATGTCTGGGATTTAAACGTTTTCATGATTACACTTTTTGGCAACTCTCAAGTTCTTTCTGGCACAAACTTCAAAGAGGAAATAGGTTAATGGAGAGGTGAAAATTTATGACTGGAAATGGGAAATGAGCAGTGACTTAGGATTTACTTCAGAAGTCTGAGAAGAGGCAATGCTTTGTTTTAGCATCCATTGTTTATGCAGAGAAATTTAAAATTTCCTCTTGCATGTGGTGATGTGTTTGGAGTTGAGTGTCTGAGGAGAGATTGGGTATGTGTGAAAGGTAGAAAGGAGGCATTAGAATGAAAGCCCCATTCCTCCCAAATAGGGAATTCACAAGTTCCAGGGAAACCTGAATCTGGAGGTAGCTATAAGGAAGGGTCAGTCGTATAGCTGAGATCTTTTAACTGCTTATATAGAAATACAATAAATGTATGGACAAAAAGAAAGATGGCATCATGCTGATTTCTTTAGGGAGTAAGGAAAGGGGAGAAATAACGGGCTGGCATGCCAATGCTGTGAATTTAGTTCATACTTTCATATTTCAATATTTTATGCTTCCAAGTGCTATTTGTTACATGCTTCAAGAACTTTCATGTAGACATAGAATGTCATAGTATATTCCATGTTCTGGTCAGACACTGTAAAACACAGTAGCGCTTCATACTGCTGCAGCCCACTTGGTGACATATGTTGATATGAGCTCATACTGAGTTGATTTCAGTAACTTATCTTGGTCTCCTGTGTTAAAGAAATGGACTGATTTCTGTCTGTTCTGAGAATTCTAGTTGCAGCCTGAAACTAATATTTACTTTTAGCTGTAAAATACTCTAACCACGAAGGCTGTCTTGTTGAAAAATTCCTAAAATTGATGCATTCTTAGTGGATGTGCTTGTTTTATTTGTGTCTCTTAAAAGTATAGCTATTTAATATTTGGATACCTGTTTTTTTTGGTGCTGATGCTGCCAGAGGTTTACTTGGGATTTGTACTTTGTGTATGCTCAGCTGTTTAGAGGAAAGGGATTTAAGTGTGGAGTTACTCAGAGGAGTATATTAATGAAGTTTAATGACAAGCCAGTGTGTGGAAGACTGAGCTGGGGAGGTCAGAGGAGGTGTCGTGAAGGAATATTTGCATCGGAGTTGCTAAGGACTCACTGGCCTCGGCCTGACTCTTCCATCCTAGGTTGAAATTGCTATCTCTAAATCCAGAAACTGCATAATGAGGTAAAACTAAATACATCATAAGTTGGAACTAAAAGTAGCCTTTTAATCCCTGCAAAGGTGCTGCCATGATTGTTTTTGACTTCAGTTAAGAATATTAATTTTCTCCTGAATACTTTGTTTAAATGGCCTTCTGTTTTTTGTTTTTTAAAAGATTATCCATATTTCTCTGGCCACTAAGATAGAATACCTAAATTCCTTAGACGTGTAGACAGTCTGCGTTTTTAAGTTACTTACACATGCACTGAATAAAATATTTAATCTTTCATGAGAAGATATTTATATAGTAAAGGAGAATGATGCTAAGGAATTGAAACAAAACTAGGCTTCCTTCCCAAGGCTGCTAAAGTTACTGAAAGTAATTTTGCCTTTAATTTAGGTCTCTCTTAGAACATTAAACTTAATTCTCCTAAGCAAACTTTTTGTTTTGTAACTTGAAGACACTTACCCATTTGAAGTAAATTTTGAAATGCAGAGTTTTTTTAGTTTTGTTATATTAAACCAAAAAAATTAAAAGATGCTGACTGCTTGTTGAAGTCTCGGCATAGTTTTGAAAGACTGTTCTTCTATGCATATGAGTAGGTCCAAATCAAGCACATGCTTTCGGGGAGGGGGGAGAGAGGTTTAAGAAGGATTAATTAAATTGGCAGTTACCTTGTATCAACTTTTTTTAATATAACTTTTGAAGAAAGATATAAAATTCCAAGCATATTAAGTTCTGATCACAGGCAACATCCCTTCCTGTAATCTAATGAAAACTATTGTGTCATTCTGAAAGACAAAGCTAGAGCTTGTTCTCTTAAATTGAGCGTTTTAATCAAATTTAAGTGAGGTAAAATTTTGTGAATAATCATGAGTACCATGAATTATTCCTCCCAAATTTAAAGCTAAAGCTCAACTTCTGTATGTAGCTGTTGTCATCATTTTTGTATCTAGTATAGGTTTTTTTATGTGCAATATAGATTGAGAAGTGTATTTATGCTACTATAATTATCTTAAGGCAAAAAAACTTCCTCAAACTTAAAATAAAAAGTATATTTTGAGAAGGGAGTCTATTTCTATGTATATCTTGAAGCAAAATCTGAATTTGCCAAATTCATAACACTTGCTCAAGCTTTTAAAGCTGATAATCCTAGGTGTTGTACCGCACTGATGCAGTTGAAAGTCTGAACCAATCCTTCTACTCTTACTTTTATTCAGAATCATGGCTAAAGATACTGAATTTTGTTTTGTTTTTAGAAATCGAGCGATAGCAGATTACCTTCGTTCTAATGGCTATGAAGAAGCATATTCAGTTTTTAAAAAGGAAGCTGAGTTAGATGTGGTGAGTTCAAACAAGATTCTTCATCTATATTTTAAATAAAGAATTTAGAATTTTATGGCATTTGCATTCATTCTGAACATGTATTTAAAAGCTACTGATTAGCTCATGCATTGTGAGAATTGGAGATGCTAAACTCGTACAGTCCACTATCTTATCCAATGACTATTTTTGATTTTTATGCTAACTTGTAGATTTCCGAGTAAAACACTTACCTTCTAGTCATGGTCGAGCTATATTTTTGATGTGTGGTTTTTTTTGTTGTTGTTGTTTGGCTACCACTGACCTACACAATGATGAGTTTTTCCTGTAGTGGGATTTTAAGGATTTAAATCTTGGAGGACTAGATCCTTCAGGATGATGGGTGCTGAAAAACAAAACTAACAGTTAATTGCTAGCAAAAGATAACATGAGTGTTGAGAAGAATGCGTTTAATTGCAATGCATTTATTTTCTGTTTCTTGCTGTAGTTTCCATGTTGTTGTGTTTTTTCCTGTCTCCTCCCCCCCCCCCCCCCCTCCCCCCTTGTTTAACTGTGCTTATTCTTATTATGGAATTCCGTATAAAAGCAAAAACTTTCTCCAATACAAAACCAGAAAACTGAAGACTTCTTTTGTAGCTTGACTTGAAATGGTGTAAGACTATGCAGCTTTGGAGACTTAACTTCTCATGGTAACGTTTAAGAAACATGAAGACAAAACAGCATTGCGTTTGTCTTTTCCTTTATCATACAGAGCAAATGTCAGAAGTCTATTTTGTGTTTGGAATTGGGTCAGTGTTTGCATCCTTGCCTGAAACCATTGAGTACCAGTTGGTTAACAGTATAGTGTAAGGGCAAGGCTAAATGGTTGGTATCAACTGGTCAGCTCTGGCAGGCAACTCTATTTTGTCAGGCTGTATAGATGCCAGTGACTTGAACCAATTATTTCTTGCAACTTAATTCCATTGATTTGCTCTTGTAACAGGTGATTCTTGCTTGGTATTACTTCTTAAACTTGTTGTTTACTAGCACTAGAGGGGAGCATTTCCTTAAATTAAGTTTTTATGGAAACACCTGGATTTAGCAGTAACCTCTGTGCGCTGGCTTTTGTTAAATCCTAGCCTATTCTCTATTAGAAGTCTTGGATTATTCTTTGTTCCAAAATGCTTGACTGAGGTATATCTTAATTTCTCCAATCTGCTTCTAATATTTAATAAATAAGTAGAAAAGACAAATCGGAATACTAATAATTGCAAATCCACATACCATTCCTTTATCAGCCTTACCCATCAACCTAGTTAAGTCTTCTCTTCCCAAAGGTTAAAAAGGTGATCTAAATAGGTTAGATGGTCCTGAGGGAAATAAGAAAATGCAGTTGTTAAGTTCCACGTGACTTTCTTACAAGAAAATGTGAATTGTTCTAAAATGGCAAAAAAAAAAAAAAAAAGTTAAAAGCAGAAATGACTTCAGTAACTTGGAAAGACTGAAGTGTAGCTCTACAAAGAGGGTTTTCATTTTTTTCTATTGATTATTCCTACAGATAATCTATTACTTCAGGGGTATTTGTAAAAGCTTAACATCTGAGCTCTAACCAAGGTAGCCAGTCTTCAGAGCTTTTAGGGAATAAGCCATGCCACTGTTGTTCTGCCCCATGCCACTGTTTGCACAGAGAGAAACTGCAGTTTTTAATATACTCTTCTGTGCTTCTCATGATGTTGCTTGGTTTTCTGTATTGCTTTTCCTCCTCCTTCTTGCATTAATAGGTGGGAGAAAAAAGGAATGAAGAGTAGCCTTCTGGCTTTTACAGTAAGATCAGTTGTTCACTGCAGTTCCTCAGCTATACCCTAGAGCCCAAAGGGAAAAGTATGTAGAGGAAGAAAATGATCCACAGAATCACAGAATCGTTTAGGTTGGAAGGGACCTCTGGAGATCATCTAGTCCAACCTCCCTGCTCAAGCAGGGTCACCTAGAGCATATTGCCCAGGATCACATCCAGGCGGGTTTTGAATATCTCCAGCGAAGGAGACTCCACCACCTCTCTGGGCAACCTGTTCCAATGCTCTGTCACCCTCACAGTGAGGAAGTTTTTTCTCAGGTTCAGATGGAACTTCCTGTGGTTCAGTTTGTGCCCATTGCCTCTTGTCCTGTTGCTGGGCACCACGGAGAAGAGGCTGGCCTCATCCGCCATTAAAGTTTCAGTACAATTGCTATATATCAGTTTTGATTTCTCCAGTACCTGAGGTATTGTTCAGTGGGGCATGTGTAGTAATCTACTGTCTGCTTCTCAGTTATTCAGGTAAAGATGCAGGGTGAGTGGACTTCAGGCTTACCTTTGAGAATTTAGCACAAACTAATGCAATGTTATGGTGGTAATTTGAGGTAAACTGTAATCAAGCTTTCAAAAGTTCATAATTAGTTTGGGGTAAATGGTTTTCAACTGAGATAGAGTGCACGTAGTCCTACTCTGACAGCTTGTGATCACTCCTCAAAGAGCGTATGCTTTCATGAGGGATCAAGTGCATGATTGTGCTAGCAAGTATATGGTAGCACAGCCTTAACAGTAGGCAGGAGTCCATTAGTACCTAACAGTCTAGTTGTGGATACGAAAAAGCAGAACATCTTTGAGAAACTAATTGCTAGTCCTGTGTGCATTAGTCCTTGCAGTCAATGCATGCTGTCTGCTGTTGTTTTTCTTTTCTTTTTTTTTTTTAATAAGGATTAAATAGGGGTGGAGGAGAATCCTATAACAAAATAGGAATATTGACAGGTATGCAGAGCACTTTAAAAGCTTTCAAGTATTGAACATGGAAAACAACATCACTAACAGTTTAGCTGAAGTTTTTGAATTTTATTTGCAGAATCTTACATCACTAATCTGTGTTGCAGTAATATTTTTAATTAAAAATGATCTCTTTAAATGTCTTCCTCTTTCCC